TCATGGTCCAGTTCAGATGAAGAATGTCTTGCATTTGAAAGCTTGTTTAACTCTATTCCAACTATGCAGATAATCCAATAAAAGATAACACCTCCTAAAAATCCTTTCTTCTCAGCTGAACTTCCCCAAATTTCTGTTGGTGTTTGGACAATGCAGGCCTGCTTATGTTGTTTTGTTATGCTACAAAGCTAATCTTTAGAAAACAAATTAAAATTAAAAATAGGCTGTCCTGTGTCAGGATCAAACTCATCACTTCCTTATGCATACCTAGCATCAACATCACAGTACTGTTGGCAATCTAGTAATACTTATGATCCAGTTTGGGTGAAATGCAAAGGCAGGAAGATTTTTGTGCAGCCTGCATTGAAACCAGCATGATGAACAAAATGCACATGCAACGTGAGGCGTGCTTTTGGAGGATTCCTGTTCAACTGTGCTCATGTGATACTAAGGCTAGTATCAGAGTAGCTGGTTCTGTACACACATTGTCACCATTCTAGCACTGAATGATAGCCATCTATTATTACGGTAGGCTTGGAAAGTTCTGACCAAAATGGTCTAGAAAATAATGCAGAAAACCACATTTTTTGGAGGTATCTTATACTGGACCAACTGTATATTGCTGAAAGCTTCTCTGATATTTTTATCAACAATGTTGCTGCTTCAGTAAAAGATATCACCAACAAAGCCCTTTCTTCTTGCATCTAGTGCTTTAGTCACTCTCCAGTTATATTTGTACCATACCGTATTCCTAATCATGGCTAATATTCAACTCTATTCAGAATGCCATGTGCCACTTGTGGCAGGCCAGTAGGGGGTGCTCCTGTGTTGAGCCACCTGCCTCACTGTGCCCAACCACCTTCTAGGCTCCGAGTGCTTGCCTGGGGGTGCCTCATGTCCATCTGACCCCCTTCCTGGAGCGTACGTGCAAGCCTGGGGATAACGCTGCCACCACCCAGGGTCTGGACTGATTTTGGCCCTGTGCCCCTGGGAAACATAGGCCTAGTAGTTCTTGAGGGTACTTCAGCCACTGCAAGAACTTGGGATGTTTCCCTTGTGGACCCACCATCTCCCACTCCCTCTCCCCAACCTGCCAGGTCGCCCTGATCCTGTCAAACCCCCTAGAACCACCAGCCCCACTCCCTGTGGACCCACGAGCATGGCCTAACTCACATGCCCCCCACAACCCAAGTTACACCAGATTTCTGGCATAGCTTGCCAAACAGGTGCAAAAGCCACACCCATGTGATCACTTATTGAGTTTGGTGAACCTCTACACATACCCAGAGAGAGAAATGTGATGGCAGCAAAAGGCATGTTAATTCGCTTTATTCTTTTGCATTTGCTTTGTCATGTAATCCTGTCAGTGGGATCATATAAAGAAGGCATTAGCAAGAGGAAAAGACAACAGAAAAGAAGGCCATGAAGTCATTCTGTAGTACTGATGTACTCCACAAGTGTGAAGACTCCTGGTACACTGAGCATATTTCAGGGTAAGAAATACATTTTTGTGAGAGTCCCTGGAGGTCTGGCATCCCTGGCGCAAAGCACCTGCTCTTCACTAAGGCTGGCAGGGCAGAGTTGTGGAATACAAGGACATCGTGGGAGCAAACATGTAGATGCACCCACTGTTCAGTTTAGCTCAATATAAGTGACTTGTCCCCAGAATGATCTCTCCCCTAAACTTTGTGTTATCCACAAAGTTCATTATAATTTATATTTTTTCAAATCATTTATAAAAGTATTGAACAACACTAGTCCCTGTGGAATTGCACAGGAAGCCCTTTCATTCAATAATGATTGCCCATTAACAATTCCATTTTGAGATTTGTCGGGTAGCCAGCTTTTAATCCATTAAATATGTGCTGCATTGATTTTGTATGACACTAATTTTTTAATCATAATGTTTTGCCATCCTAAGTTGAAGAGTATTAAGTTTAAATATATTAAGTCAACATGGTCACTACCAATGTGGTGATTTCATCTAAAATATGATTATGTTAGTTTGCCAGGAATTATTTTCCAAAAACACACATTGATTGACATCGTTAGATATTACCATAATTTCATTCTTTATAGATTGAATTCCTTTGCTAATTTCCCCCCCATTATTTTGCCTGGGACTGATGTTAAACTATCTAGATTATCCTGGTTACCTTTCAAAATATTATTATAATGTTAGATTTCTTTCAGTCCCCTGGAATGTTGCCAGCATTGTAAAATTTATGGAAATTAACATAAATTACCTGTAGTTTTCTTGGCCCATCCTCTTATAACTCTTAAGTGAAAATTATCCAGATGTGCTCATTTTAAAATGGCTAATTTTAGTAGATGCTGCTTAACATCCACTCTAACTACTGTTGGAATAAGAAATATTTCAGTTATATATATTATATGAGAAATCATCCTTTATTTTACAACATATACAACATATTGCTTCCATATAATTAAAGAATAGGTGACTACAATCAGTCGCAAGGAAATCATCCCAGCTTGCCTTTCAAGTAGGTGACTGAAATCTAACAAGAGGCTCCAGGTAGCTATCAAAGTCTTCTCCTTTACATCTCATGGATAGAGTTTATGGCACACAGCTTGCATATACTGGATATACCTAAGAAAGAGTGAGACGTGGGCATACCAGTTGATCATAGGATGAGCTTCCATTGTAATGCAACTGTGAAATAGGCTAATGCAATACTAGGGTGTATTAGATGGGGTGTAATCAGGAGAGACAAGAAGGCATTATACAAGGCATTTGTAAGTCCCTATTTAGTCTACTCTATGTAGTTCTAGTCACTAGTTTAAAAAAAATCAACTCAAATTAAAACAAGTCCAAAGAAGGTCCACTTAAGCTGGTCAAAATGGAGACCCTTTCTTAGAAGATTAAAAGAGCTCAGCTTGTTTTTCTTAAAAAATGGAAGTTGTATGGTTTTAAAAAAAGGTATACAATTAATTTTTACCAATACATTTTGGGGGTGAATATTGGGAGGCAGAAGAGTTTTTCAGGCTGAAAAACAATACTGGCAAAAGTCAAAGACTACAAACAAACTGAACAAATTTAGATAGGAAAATATAGGACTTGTAACTATCAGAGAAATGAAAGTTTGGTCTTTTGAGTCAAGCAGAAAAAGAACCTAGTTGTTTGAAGAATGAGCTCAGCAAGTTTATGGAGGGGATGGCATGATAGGATAGGGGGTTCATGGGTCAAAAATCAATGTGTGATATATGGAATCTTGGATTTGTTATCCTCATGTTGAGGTATGGAAGTAAAGGCTCATGGTGGCTATCTGGTAACTCTGTGCTTCAGGACTTTTGGTGGTGAACTTCATGGGTCAGGATAAGAGTTCTCCACCTCCCATTAAAACTACTGGCTTCTGAGGGTTTCTTTCTTTTCCTTTCTTTTTTGCTGTCCTCTGTGGCATTGGGACTTTGACCACAGCTAAGGTTGGAGGTTATTAACTAGAGTGTGTTTATGCTCCTGGTAGTGCTAGAAGACCTTTCTCTTTTGCCCAAGATTATAAAAATCATCAAGTTTGGGGTCAGGAAAATTTTTTCTTATAGGCCATATTTGCAAGGACTGTGGGGGCTTTTGCTGTCATCTCTAGCATGGAACTTAGTCCTTTTCTTAGGATCCTCTGAGCATTTCTTGATCAATTATGTCTGGTATTGCCATGACAGAACATTGGCATTTGCACATTTCTCCTGTTTTTACCTCTAGCATGTTGTAGGGTGATCTTGGTGGTTCTGGCTTTGTGCCTTGTGGCTGTATGTGAGAGTCTGAATTTTGGTTTGAAGTAGTGATTTTGGGGAATCCTTGGGTAAATAGTGGCCTGCAAACTCAGAGTCCCAGACTCGATGGCCTACAAGGCCCTTTTAGCCCTATGTCGATCTGTTTTTGCCATTGTTTGAAACTCCTCTTACCCAAAAGTGTGTTTTTAGTATACAACAATTGTATATACTTCTGTCTTTCAAAAAAAAATAAAGATAAATATGCATACCCTAAAAACAATGGGACATGACAAAGCATGTATTCCTGGGCCATTAAGGCGCTTCTCTTTGGCCTTATGCCTCACAATACTCTGGAGAGTTGCATTAATGGCCTAGTAATACAACACGCCCTATCATGTCTTATTGCTTAATTGGACTCCAGACAAATTCAGTTAAACCACATATGCTGTTCTTTTATTACTACTACTGCACAGTTTTTATTTCCTACATTCTCTGGTGCTTCTGGAGGTATCTGAGTTATATCAAATGCATCTCTTGAGAACATAGATTGTGGATACAGAGTTTTAACTCTGCCCCTCAGTCCTTTCCATCTGCACACTGAATGAGTATATGGTCTGTATGCTTCAGTGTAGGACAAAACCAGAAAAGTTAAGTAACATAGCAGAAAATAAATGGAAAAAGGAAGAGGTGAAATGACTACACTGGGTCTATTTTGAAAGACCTTTTCATTACAAAATGAATGTCAGAGTGAGAAGATAGGCATGTTTTACAGGATTTAGGGTGCTTGGTATTCATGGGATCCTGATACAGAAAATTAAATAATCTTCATGTGGGGGGTTTCTTATGTATATTCCCTACTTCCTGTGGATGGCTGTGCATGATGGTACAGCTCTGTTCATGGTGCTTCAAGGTCTTTCCATATTATCTGGGGCCTCTTTTAAAGTTTATGGAAGTCTTTTTAATGACTTAATTCATTTTGGACAAAATCTTAAGTGAGGAATGGTGACAGAAATTGATTCCTCAAGTGAGGAATCAAGCTAACAGTAGGGAAAAAAGGTCACTCAGTCATAACCCTGGAGAGTTCCCAGCATTTAACAACAAAGGCAGGAAGAACAGTTGTGCACACATTAACTTGAACTCAGGAAAATAGGCTCTGAGGTCAAAATGATGTGTCCTTTTTTAGAGACCAAAATCTGTTGTCCCAGAATCATCCTAGTTACTATTAAGAAATCCATTTGTTTGTCCTTTAATAAAACCATGTCTTAACTCACAGTAGGCCAGCTGTAGTGACCCAAAGTTAAACCTGAACAGAAAAAAAGGAGAGAAGGCCTATGATCTTTCCATGCTGTATCTGTGTCTTTGATTTGTAACATTAAATAAAATAATCCTTTGTCTGACCTAAATCTGTCTGGTGAATTTGGGTATTCCTGGTCAAATGTTCACAGGAGGATATTGAGGATACTCTTGGATGGTAGTAGACATTCAAGTGTATTTTGGTTTTGTTTCAGTGCAGAAATTTCACTATATATTGAGGAGGATGGAAATCCCTAATATTTCAAAGTATTTAAAATCAGCTATCTTGAAATTAATGAATTAATCAAGGCTACTGATGCTTGAATTAATTTCACATTAAAGCTGTCAAGCGATTAAGATTTGTATAAATTGCTTTAACCCATTGCAGCATATTTTGAGTACTGATGGCAGTAAGGGAGGCCAGATATAAATCAGTGATCTGTTACAAACTAAAGATAAAAAAGCCAGGGAAAAAATACAGGAAATCTAACTTTATCTCCAGGACTCATTCAGAATAAAGTAAAACAGAAACAGCAGTGCAATGCATTTTCCCCCACAGTGCTGCTCTAGCATTTAGTGCTTCAACTTTATATAATGAAGCAATTGGCTCATTCTCTCGTAATAGCTCGTCATGCATGCTGAGTTCAGGAAGTAGAACCATTAGAGCCACATGAAGGTGGCAAGTCCTAAAGAGTCCCAAGAGTTCAGGTATTGCCGTACTGGTTCTGAGCTGGCAAAATCTTTTCAGCTGATGGCCAGTGTTATCTGTTAAAAATAGCTGCTATATTTGTACTCTCATCATGGCGATTCTGTACTGTGTGAATGCAAAAAATGAGGCATTATGGTCACTTGTCATATATGACATATAGTTCTTGGTATATTCCAGCATATGATTAGTCTTTCAGCAATGTTGAGCAAAAATATGTATATATTTCTGCTAGAGATGAATCCAAGTACTTTAACTGTGCCCATAAATAAATGCATTTATTTTTAAATACATTTAAAATAAATTGAAATAAATTGAAAAAATACAAACTGAGGTGCTGCCCAAAGGGGTCAGGCCTTAGAATGTAAATTGTTAAAATATATATTTTCTCTCAGAAGAGCAAACAAATAAAGCATTACAAAGAAAAAAGTATTGCCCATTTTATGATCTGGTATTTACAATTTTTCTTGGCAGATCATGTACAATACAGTCAAACCTAGGATGATTAAACTTCAGAATAATCCATGTCATAGTTAAGATCTTTTTTGCTGTCCAATAGGATTTACTTCACTATTTTCTTTCTTTGTCTGCTGTGGTCCCTGCAAGGTAGTTCAGTGTAATAGTATATTCTGGTTGACACTGTTAAGAAGTGGTGATGGCTGTCTCCAAGTAGGTACAATGCTGCAGGGCACCCTGTAATTTAGTGTGTCATTAAGACATGTCTGCTGATTTATAGATTGCAGGAGTATAGGCAGACTATGGCCATCAGTGAAGTAACATCAGGTTTTAAAAGGCCATCTTAGCAATGTGTGGAGAGGCAAATGCATGTTTAATTTAAAAGCAGACAATCCTTAAGAATGAACTATTTTTATGCAATTATATGTAGCTGTATTTTTCCTAAAAGAAAGACATAACAAATCATACACGGTAAAAAAAAATCATTTTCAATGCATTAAGTTATGATCACTCTGTCATTTTATGAGTCTTTGGAACACCTCAGAAAGCTGGTACAGAAACATCTGTTTTACAAATACAGTGAATGTTGTCATCATGGTATATAAATAATGCTGGTCAGTGTTCAGATTGCAGCCTGGGATAAAATGACATTGGACAGTATAAAAAAGCAGCCAAAAGGCTTGTGTGGTTCTGAACAGCATGTTAAAAGTATGGTAGCCCCATATTTTAAATAAGCCTTTCTGCACAGTAGTTTGAATATTTCATTTACATAAACACAATAACCAATATTTTTTAAAAATAAGTGCCTAAACTTACACTTCTGAGATTTTTAATGGGTACCTGCATAAATGAGCTGATTTTCAAAATTAGGAACTGCTGCATATTCAGCACTCATAAAGGCTTGTGCTCTGACTTCATCCTTTGCATGGTTGAGGTGAGTGAGGCTAAAGACCTTATCTCCCCCGTGCTGTGCAATTGGAGGTACAGAAGTGAAGTGGAGACCTGACATCATGCCTTCAACAGCCCAAGAACTGTTAGCCCAAAACTTCACAGAGCCTTGTGTACAAATGTCAGTTCCTCAGATCAGGTGTGTGGAAAACCAGAACTGTCTCCACTGAGACACACCACACACACAGACCTGTCTCCTAGCATCCTGCAACGTAGCAGAGTCTGAGCAAGGATTTCACAGAGCCCCCTGTCCTACTGCTAGCCCTGTGCAATAGATTAAGTGAAATGAGGATTTCATTAAGGCTAGTGCTCTCATGTTAGCCATAGAGAAGTTTAGATAAATTAGGGTATTTACTTAGCACAGGAAACAAAAAGCTCAGTTAATGAATGCAATGAAAAAAGACACAGATGCGATGAAAAAATACTTGCAATCTGTTAATGACAACCTGTGCAATAGCAGCGAGGTAACCACAGCAGAGACATCGGATGAAAAATGCATAGATGATCCACAGTTCAACTTCCAAGAATCATTGCAAGAGAAACAAAGAGACTTAAACAAAACAGATATTCTTCATCTGGACTAGAATAATGACAATGCTACTAGTAATAGAGATGAAACAATTCCCATCATAGGCGTTGGTGGTGGCATCTCTGATCCTGCTTTATGGCCCAATCTAATGCCCACAATTCAAGATTTGCTAGTGACCATTGGTCCACCAAAAGTAAAGAACATAGATTTTCTTCTGCATGAACAGAATGGCCATTTTTCTATTATGTTTTTATATGGAAATCTTGAAAATGGCGAAGTCCTGAAGCAGGGCTGGCTGCTTTACTCAGAGTGCACTGACAAGGTTTTCTGTTTCTGCTGCAAGCTCTTCAACTTGAATCCAAAATCATCCCTAACATTTGAGGGGTCAAATAACTGGAAGCACATCTCAGATTCTTGTCTATTGTAGCAGGTGGCCAGCTTGCCTGGCTCCTCCAGCCTCAGATCAATCCTTGAGCCCTTCAGTCTGGTCCAGTAGCACAGTCTTTCTCTGGGCTCAAAACCACAGTGTAGCAGGTGGCCGGCTTGCCCAGCTCCTCCTGGCTCAGATCAGTCCTTGAGGCCTTCAATCTGGTCCTAGTAACACAGTCTTTCTCTGGGCTCAAAAACAGAGGCTGTAATGCCCTGGGCTCCTCTGCTTCCCAGGGCTCAGCTGAAAGCAAAACAATCCAAATGAACCCACCCGTAGCTTGGTCCCAGCAACACAGGCTTCAAAACCCTGGGCTTGATTTCTACCAAGGGGTTTAGTTGTCAATATCAAACAATCCAAAATAAACATGCCCAGCATGGGTTAGCTCTCACTCTGTAGTCTTCCTTCGAGGAGCCCTCCCTCTCCATCTAGCTCCTCCCACTTATTTCCTCTTCCTATTTTTTTATTTCCGGTCAGCCACTGCTCTTCATTTTTGCTAATTACCTGCCAGCTGAGGCCCCTTATGTGGGTGGCTTGTTGCTGGCTGGGTAATGGATCAAGGATGCCAGCCTGTAACTTGTTACATGCATCATGAAAAGTCACCTAGTCATTTCAGTTCCTGCTAAACATGGATCAAAGCACAGCAAAGGATAAAACAGAATAACTGCATTGACATTGAGTTTCAACGTATGATTAAAGAAGAGACAAAACAGTGGGAGAACATTCTAGAGAACTGCATGACAATAACACTTTATCTTCTGAAAAATAATGTGGCTTTTTAAGGCTCATCTGATAGTCTCTTCATGGCAAACAATAAGAATTTCGTGGGTTTGTTGGAGTTACTAGGAAAGTACAATGAAGTAATGAAGGAACATTTGGGATGCATACTTTCCAAGATGGATTCCTACTGTGGAAAAACAAGCCCGAATGAGATAATTGAATTATTTCTGAAGAAAGTGCTGCAAGACATTCTTAGAAGGTTGATAAGTACCAGGTACTACTCCATGATATTGGACTGCACTCCAGATGTGAAAAGATGTCTTTCACAGTTAGGTTCCTTGATACTTCAGATGGTAAAGTGACCATTCAAGCACACTTTATTGGTTTTAAAATAGTGGACGAGTCTACAGGGGAAGGACTAAGTGGGGCATCTACACATGCAGTTAATGTGACACCCAGACTCCAGAGCTGTTTGAGTCAGAGGAAACTGCTCCTTGGTGCAGCGTCTACACATGTGCTCAGAACAGTGGCAATTTCAGCTGGGACGAAGCAGGCCCCTGACTGGCTGGGCTGACCAGGCACAATTTATATCCACAGTCAGTATCCACATGTGTTTCAGCAAAGTAAATTACTCTGCCATAAGACAGTACTGGGTTCAGTATTGGGGATAGTACTATCTTAAGGCAGGCTTAATTAATCTACTGTGCCCTAATACCAGTGCACATGTAGAAGGTGATGCTTTACTGTGGAGCTGATTAGTCTACTCTTCAGTAAAGTGCATGTGCAGATGTACCCACTAAAGCTATATTTACTACTCTGAAGGAATAAAACATAAATATCCAAGACTGCCGGAGCTAGCATTATGACAACAGTGCAAAAATGAAGGGGAAAACCAAGGGTGTACAGCAAGACTCCTTAATCAAAACCCAAGAGTGTTTTTCATTCCATGTGGATGCCACTTGCTAAATCTCATGCTGGCACATGCTGCAACATTTTCAGCAGAGTCCAAGTCCCTCTTTGGCGTTTTGCAAAGGATCTATGTACTGTTCTCTGACTCTGTTCATTGTTGGGAGATTCTCACAAATCATGTCTATGTCACTGCTAAGTATGTGAAACATGCTGGGAGTGCACCACTCTTCTTTCACCTGGGGAAATATGCTGTGCACCAGAGCATGCATGAAAGGGCATGCCCAGGGACAACTAGTAGCAGCACAAATATGTGCCGCTGCTGGTTGTCCCCAGGGAAATGCACTTTCCTGCTCGTGGGGAAGTGCCTATGGATAGCACTCGGGATCCTGTTAGCCATGCCCATAACAGTGGCAAACAGTGAACAGAGCTTCTCAAAGTTGAAGCTCATAAAAACATCTTTGTGATTGACCATGGGAGATGACAGGCTATCTTTGTTGGCTATTCTGTCTATCAAGAATGCTGTGGCTTAAAATATAGACCTGTCACATGCAATATCAAAGTTTGTGGGAAGAAAGGTGCTCAGAATGGTTTTCCAAGTCTTGGAATCTTGGTTAATAGAGTTTATTATTTGTTAATGTTAATTGTTAGTTTAATGTTTAGTTTATTCATCACTTAGTTATAATGTTTTGTATGGCATATTATTTATTATTTGAATAAACCTGAATTTCATTGAATTGAATTTAGTGTAATTTCCTCTTTTTATTTTTCTAATAGTAAATTATTTAAAAAAAAACTTTTGAGATTACAGCTTTATTTCTGAAATAAAGCAGGGGGAGGGGTGCCAAAATACAAGTTTGCCCAGGTCACCTTTTTCTCTAAGGCCAGCTCTGGTGAGGAGCCTATATCTTGGGTTTCCTGCTTTCTGAATGAGCATCACAGTCAGCTTTTGGGGTAAAAGGTAGGAGGATCTTCCTCCCTTGGCATCTAACATCTGGCTTTTTGCCATGCTTTTATGAGTTATGCTCATTGTATGCATGTGTGGCACTGTGTATCTGCCTGGCCAGTGAACTGTAATTGCCGAAAGCAACAGTTCTGCAGCTAGTTACCCGCCTCTTGAGTGCATAAAGTGAAATAAGATCCTGTCCCTAACTTTTAACTAAGTAGTTCAGGTACTGTTAGAAGGATGGGCATGGCAGCAGGAGCTCATCATGGGTAACAGCCTGAATAGTTACTTAGCTTCTTGGGTGTCTTTTGTAGCCTGTGTTCAGTTCTGTGCTAACACTGCTATGCTGTTAGCAATATTTGAGCTAGAGCTACATTAAAGATAGATTGGGTAAGTTAACATGCTCTGCAGTTACTGAACAGACAGGCCCTGAGTGACAAAATTACCCAGACCCTGTCTATGCTTTTATTCCTGTACAGCCTCTACTGTTGCTGTGAGGTGTGGAGCTGCACCAGTTGGTATTATAGTTCTTAATTTTCTTAAACCTTAAATTCTGTGGTAGTTAATTTAGCTTCTCATAAGTGTCTTTTTAGTATCATATACCCCTTCCAT